GTGCGAAGGCCTGCAAGATAGTGGGTGGCCAGCGCCACCACGCCCGGCCGCCTTTGTCTCTCCCCCAGTGCTAGCGATGTTCACTACTACACCACCACCACGACACCACCACCACCGCTACACCACCACCACACCACTACCGCTACACCACCACCACACCACCGCTACACCACCACCGCTACACCACCACCACTACACCACCACCACTACAGCACCACCACCACTACACCACCACTACACCACCGCTACACCACCACCGCTACACCACCACCGCTACGCCACCACCGCCACCACCGCTACACTACACCAGGTACTCGTTTGAGGCTGAGTCGACCTAAGGGAGGCCCAGGGACTGATTTGGAGAATCGTCACCGGTGGTGGCCGTGAGCGGGAATTGAACTCGGGTCGTAGCCAGGTTCGTGGCGCGGCGTAGTGCTGACCGCTTGTGCCAGGATAGGTGCACGTTAAGGCAGTGACACACGCAGTGACACACAGTGACACACGCAGTGACACACACGCAGTGACAAACACACACACAGTGACACACAGTGACACACACAGTGACACACACACAGTGATACACACACAGTGACACACACACACACAGTGACAAAGATAAAGATCCCCCATATAGCCTTAACAGACTGTAGGGGCAAGTGCTGTTAGCGAGCACCTAAGAAGGCCGGAACGGTACACGAGGGGGTGGGTGGCCAGCACCACGCCCGACCGCCTTTGTCTCCCCAGTGGCGATGTTTACGCACCGCACCAGGTACTCATTTGAGGCTGAGTCGACCTAGGGGAGGCCCGGGACGGGTTCAGTTAATCGTCACTGGTGTTGGCCGTGAGCGGGAATCGAACCCGGATCGCCAGGTTCATAGCGCAGCGTAGCGCTAACCGCTACACAGTGACACACACACACATGCACACACACAGTGACACACACACACAGTGACACAAACACACACAGTGACACACACACACAGTGACACACACACACAGTGACACAAACACAGTAACACACACACAGTGACACAAACACACACAGTGACACACACACAGTAACACACACACAGTGACACAAACACACACAGTGACACACACACAGTAACACACACACAGTGACACACACAGTGACACACACACACAGTGACACACACAGTGACACACACACACAGTGACACACACACACAGTGACACACACACACAGTGTCACACACAGTGACACACACACAGTGACACACACACAGTGACACACACAGTGACACACAGTGACACACACAGTGACACACACACAGTGACACACACACAGTGACACACAGTGACACACACAGTGACACACACACAGTGACACACACACAGTGACACACACACACAGACAGTGACACACACACACAGACAGTGACACACACACAGTGACACACACACACAGTGACACACACACACAGTGACACACACACACAGTAACACACACACACAGACAGTGACACACACACACAGACAGTAACACACACACACAGACAGTGACACACACACAGACAGTGACACACACACAGTGACACACACACACAATGACACACACACAGTAACACACACACAGTAACACACACACAGTAACACACACACAGTAACACACACACAGTAACACACACACAGTGACACACACAGTGACACACACACAATAACACACACACACACACAGTGACACACACACACAGTGACACACACACACAGTGACACACACACAGTGACACACACACACAATGACACACACACAGTAACACACACACAGTAACACACACACAGTAACACACACACAGTGACACACACAGTAACACACACACACAGTGACACACACATACACACACAGTAACACACACAGTAACACACACACAGTGACACACACAGTAACACACACACACAGTGACACACACATACACACACAGTAACACACACACAGTGACACACACATACACACACAGTGACACACACACAGTGACACACACAGTGACACACACACACAGTGACACACACACACAATGACACACACACAGTAACACACACACAGTAACACACACACAGTGACACACACAGTAACACACACACACAGTGACACACACATACACACACAGTAACACACACACAGTGACACACACATACACACACAGTGACACACACACAGTGACACACACAGTGACACACACACACAGTGACACACACACACAGTGACACACACACACAGTGACACACACACACAATGACACACACACAGTAACACACACACAGTAACACACACACAGTGACACACACAGTGACACACACACACAGTGACACACACACAGTGACACACACAGTGACACACAGTGACACACACACAGTGACACACACACAGTGACACACAGTGACACACAGAGTAACACAGTGACACACACACAGTAACACACACACACAGTGACACACACAGTGACACACACAGTGATACACACACACAGTGACACACACACACAGTGACACACACACAGTGACACACACACAGTAACACACACACAGTGACACACACACACAGTGACACACACACAGACACACACACACAGTGACACACACACAGTGACACACACAGTAACACACACACACAGTGACACACAGTGACACACACACAGTAACACACACACAGTGACACACACAGTGACACACACACAGAGACACACACAGTGACACACACACAGTGACACACACAGTGACACACACACAGTGACACACACACAGTGACACACACACACAGTGACACACACACAGTAACACACACACACAGTGACACACAGTGACACACACACACAGTGACACACAGTGGCACACACAAACACAGTGACACACACACAGTGACACACACACAGTGACACAGTGACACACACACACAGTGACACACACACACAGTGTCACACACAGTGACACACACACACAGTGACACACAGTGGCACACAGTGACACACACAGTGACACACACAGTGACACACAGTGACACACAGTGACACACACACAGTGACACACAGTGACACACAGTGACACACACACAGTGACACACACACACAGTGACACACAGTGACACACACACACAGTGACACACACACAGTGACACACACAGAGTAACACACAGTGACACACACACAGTAACACACACACAGTAACACACACACACAGTGACACACACAGTGACACACACACACAGTGACACACACAGTGACACACACACACAGTGACACACACACACAGTGACACACACACACAGTGTCACACACAGTGACACACACACAGTGACACACACACAGTGACACACACACAGTGACACACAGTGACACACACAGTGACACACACACAGTGACACACACACAGTGACACACAGTGACACACACAGTGACACACACACAGTGACACACACAGTGACACACACACAGTGACACACACACACAGACAGTGACACACACAGACAGTGACACACACACAGTGACACACACACACACACACAGTGACACACACACACAGTGACACACACACACAGTAACACACACACACAGACAGTGACACACACACACAGACAGTAACACACACACACAGACAGTGACACACACACAGACAGTGACACACACACAGTGACACACACACACAGTGACACACACACACAGTGACACACACACACAGTGACACACACACAGTGACACACACACAGTGACACACACACACAGTGACACACACAGTGACACACACACACAGTGACACACACAGTGACACACACATACACACAGTGACACACACAGTGACGCACACATACACACAGTGACACACACACAATAACACACACATACACACAGTGACACACACACAATAACACACACACACACAGTGACACACACACACAGTGACACACACACACAGTGACACACACACAGTGACACACACACACAATGACACACACACAGTAACACACACAGTAACACACACACAGTAACACACACACAGTGACACACACAGTAACACACACACACAGTGACACACACATACACACACAGTAACACACACAGTAACACACACACAGTGACACACACAGTAACACACACACAGTGACACACATACACACACAGTGACACACACACAGTGACACACACAGTGACACACACACACAGTGACACACACACACAGTGACACACACACACAGTGACACACACACACAATGACACACACACAGTAACACACACACAGTAACACACACACAGTGACACACACACAGTAATACACACACACAGTGACACACACATACACACACAGTAACACACACACAGTGACACACACATACACACACAGTGACACACACACAGTGACACACACAGTGACACACACACACAGTGACACACACACACACAGTGACACACACACACAATGACACACACACAGTAACACACACACAGTAACACACACACAGTGACACACACAGTAACACACACACACAGTGACACACACATACACACACAGTAACACACACACAGTGACACACATACACACACAGTGACACACACACAGTGACACACACAGTGACACACACACACAGTGACACACACACAGTGACACACACACACAGTGACACACACACACAGTGACACACACACACAATGACACACACACAGTAACACACACACAGTAACACACACACAGTGACACACACATACACACACAGTAACACACACACAGTGACACACACATACACACACAGTGACACACACACAGTGACACACACAGTGACACACACACACAGTGACACACACATTGACACACACCATAGTTTTTATATTTGCTCGGCTTGGCTACCCCCACCCACGTGCCCCTCCCCCCGTGCCTCTCCCCCTCCTCCACCCCCCTCCATGACCTCGTGACCCCCTCCAAGGCAGCCTCACACCCACGTGATGCCCACGTGATGCCCACTCTTCCACAAGCAGGGCAACGTTCAGACAACGTTCAGGCAACGTCCGGGCAACGTTTAATTCGCTCGTCCAGTCTCTCACAAGCAGGGCAACGTTCAGACAACGTTCAGGCAACGTTCGGGCAACGTTTAATTCGCTCGTCCAGTCTCTCACAAGCAGGGCAACGTTCAGACAACGTTCAGGCAACGTCCGGGCAACGTTTAATTCGCTCGTCCAGTCTCTCGCAAGCAGGGCAACGTTCAGACAACGTTCAGGCAACGTCCGGGCAACGTTTAATTCGCTCGTCCAATCCCTCACAGTGACGGCAACGTCCAGGCAACGTCCAGGCAACGTTCGTGCCCAGAGGCTCCCCCCTGCACCCCCGCCCTATCGACAGCCCAGGCTACGGGGTTCACGGCTACACCCGGCACTGCGGGATAGGATTTGGGGTTAGCGTTTAACAGGGGTTAGAGGTTAAAGGTTAGCGGTCAGCTGAGTTAGCGTGGTTAGGGGTTAGCGGTTAACAGGGGTTAGAGGCTATGGGGTTAGCGGTTAGGGGATAACGGTTAGGGGATAACGGTTAGGGGATAACGGTTAGGGGTTAGCAGCGATTAGGGGTTAGAGGCTATGGGGTTAGAGGCTAGGGGTTAGAGGTTAGGGGTTAGAGGCTAGGGGTTAGAGGTTAGTGGTTAGCGGTTAGAGGCTAGGGGTTAGAGGCTAGGGTTAGAGGTTAGGGGTTAGAGGCTAGGGGTTAGAGGCTAGGGGTTAGAGACTAGGGGTCAGAGGCTAGGGGTCAGAGGCTAGGGGTTAGAGGCTAGGGGTTAGAGGCTAGGGGTTAGCGGTTAGGGGATAATGGTTAGGGGATAACGGTTAGGGGATAACGGTTTAGGGGCTAACAGCGGTTAGGGGTTAGAGGCTAGGGGTAACAAGTTAAGGAGTTCACGGTGAAAGATTAGCGGGTTAACAGTTAGCGGTGAACAGATTGAGGTTAGGAGTTAGCGAGTAGGGGTTTTAGCGGTAAAGGGGTTAGCGGATAAGGGTTAGCGGTTAACGGTTAGCGGTTAAGGGTTAGGAGTTAGCGGTATAGGGGTTAGCGGTCAAGGCTTAGCGGTCAAGGGGTAGCAGTTAGGAGTCAGCGGCTATGTGGGTTAGCGGTCAAGGGTTAGGAGTTAGCGGTTACGGGGGTTAGCGGTCAAGGGTTGGGAGTTAGCGGTTACGGGGGTTAGCGGTCAAGGGTTGGGAGTTAGCGGTTACGGGGGTTAGCGGTCAAGGGTTAGGAGTTAGCGGTTACGGGGGTTAGCGGTCAAGGGTTAGGAGTTAGCGGTTACGGGGGTTAGCGGTCAAGGGTTGGGAGTTAGCGGTTACGGGGGTTAGCGGTCAAGGGTTGGGAGTTAGCGGTTACGGGGGTTAGCGGTCAAGGGTTAGGAATTAGCGGTTACGGGGGTTTAGCGGTCAAGGGTTAGGAGTTAGCGGTTACGGGGGTTAGCGGTCAAGGGTTGGGAGTTAGCGGTTACGGGGGTTAGCGGTCAAGGGTTAGGAGTTAGCAGTTACGGGGGTTAGCGGTCAAGGGTTAGGAGTTAGCGGTTACGGGGGTTAGCGGTCAAGGGTTCGCGGTTACGGGGGTTAGCGGTCAAGGGTTGGGAGTTAGCGGTTACGCGGGTTAGCGGTCAAGGGTTAGGAGTTAGCGGTTACGGGGGTTAGCGGTCAAGGGTTCGCGGTTACGGGGGTTAGCGGTCAAGGGTTAGCGGTTACGGGGGTTAGCGGTCAAGGGTTAGGAGTTAGCGGTTACGGGGGTTAGCGGTCAAGGGTTCGCGGTTAAGCGACCAGCCACGGGGTTGTAACAGGGGGAGCGCAGCCACAAAAAAGTACAAACCCCAAAAACAACGACTCAACACGACACCTGTCATGGCCGCCCCCACGCCGTGACGTCACCCACGCTGGGGGGAGGGGTTAGCGGGGGACCGCGTCCATGTGACGCGGTACGGTGTGTGGGGCGGGGGTGGTGGTGGTGGCAAATCGCCGCGATCCCCTGGGGTCCTCAACACACCTGGGAATAGAGATGCCTGCGTTAGTGATGGCGGTGGTGGGGGTGGTGGTGGTGGGGGTGGTGATGGTGATGATGGTGGTGGTGGTGATGATGGTGGTGGGGGTGGTGGTGATGGGGGTGATGGTGATGGTGGTGGGGGTGGTGATGGTGGTGGTGGTGATGGTGATGGTGATGATGGTGGTGGTGGTGATGATGGTGGTGGTGGGGGTGGTGGTGATGATGGTGGTGGTGATGATGGTGGTGATGATGGTGGTGGTGATGATGGTGGTGGTGGTGATGATGGTGGTGGTGGGGGTGGTGGTGATGGGGGTGATGGTGGTTGTGGTGTGATGGGGATGATGGTGATGGACGTGATCATGCGTCTCCCCCCTCCCACCCTCCCTCTCCTCCCTCCCCTCCCCCCTCTCCTCCCTCCCCTCCCCCCTCTCCTCCCTCCATTCCCTCCCTCCCCTCCCTCTCCTCCCTCCCTCCTCCCCCCCCTCCCTCCCCTCCTCCCTCCCCTCCCCTCACTCCCTCCCCTCCCCCCCCTCCCTCCCCCCTCCCTCCCTCCCCTCCCCTCTCTCCCCTCCCTCTCCTTCCCTCCCTCCCCTCCCTCTCCTCCCTCCCTCCCCTCCCCCCCCTCCCTCCCTCCCCTCCCCTCCCTCCCTCCCTCCCTCCCTCCCCTCCCTCCCTCGCTCCCTCGCTCCCTCCCCTCCCTCCCTCCCTCCCCCCCCCCCCCCCTCCCTCCCTCCCCTCCCCTCCCTCCCCTCCCTCTCCCCCCCCCTCCCTCCCTCCCCTCCCTTCCTCCCCCTCTCCCCTCCCTCCCACCAGTCACTTGGGCCCCCGGTAGGCCGCATCCTTCCCCGTCTTGAGCAGCGTCTCCAGCAGCAACTCCACGCGGTGCTGAGACTCGATCACTACCGACTTGTTGGGAAGGTCGATCTCAAACTGGACCCCTACGTTACACCACCACCACCACAACAACAACCACAACAACAACAACAGACAAAGGTTCCACCAGACCCTCAGAGATGTTGAACACCTCGCCTGGTACACAGGAGGTCGTGGGTTCAATCCCAGAAGCTGAGAGATGTTGACTACCTCGCCTGGTACGCAGGAGGTCGTGGGTTCAATCCCAGACCCTGAGAGATGTTGACTAGCTCGCCTGATAGACACACGAGGTCGTGGGTTCAATCCCAGACACTGAGAGATGTTGAGTACCTCGCCTGGTACGCAGGAGGTCGTGGGTTCAATCCCAGAAGCTGAGAGATGTTGACTACCTCGCCTGGTACGCAGGAGGTCGTGGGTTCAATCCCAGACCCTGAGAGATGTTGACCACCTCGCCTGGTACGCAGGAGGACGTGGGTTCAATCCCAGACACTGAGAGATGTTGACTACCTCGCCTGGTACACAGGAGGTCGTGGGTTCAATCCCAGACACTGAGAGATGTTGACTACCTCGCCTGGTACGCAGGAGGTCGTGGGTTCTATCCCAGACACTGAGAGATGTTGACTACCTCGCCTGGTACGCAGGAGGTCGTGGGTTCAATCCCAGACACTGAGAGATGTTGACTACCTCGCCTGGTACGCAGGAGGTCGTGGGTTCAATCCCAGACACTGAGAGATGTTGACTACCTCGCCTGGTACGCAGGAGGTCGTGGGTTCTATCCCAGACACTGAGAGATGTTGACTACCTCGCCTGGTACGCAGGAGGTCGTGGGTTCAATCCCAGACCCTGAGAGATGTTGACCACCTCGCCTGGGACGCAGGAGGTCGTGGGTTCAATCCCAGACACTGAGAGATGTTGACTACCTCGCCTGGTACACAGGAGGTCGTGGGTTCAATCCCAGACACTGAGAGATGTTGACCACCTCGCCTGGTACGCAGGAGGTCGTGGGTTCAATCCCAGACCCTGAGAGATGTTGACTACCTCGCCTGGTACGCAGGAGGTCGTGGGTTCAATCCCAGACACTGAGAGATGTTGACCATTTCGCCTGGTACGTAGGAGGTCGTGGGTTCAATCCCAGACCCTGAGAGATGTTGACTACCTCGCCTGGTACGCAGGAGGTCGTGGGTTCAATCGCAGACACTGAGAGATGTTGACTACCTCGCCTGGTACACAGGAGGTCGTGGGTTCAATCCCAGACACTGAGAGATGTTGACCACCTCGCCTGGTACGCAGGAGGTCGTGGGTTCAATCCCAGACCCTGAGAGATGTTGACTACCTCGCTTGGTACGCAGGAGGCCGTGGGTTCAATCCCAGACACTGAGAGATGTTGACCATTTCGCCTGGTACGTAGGAGGTCGTGGGTTCAATCCCAGACCCTGAGAGATGTTGACTACCTCGCCTGGTACGCAGGAGGTCGTGGGTTCAATCCCAGACCCTAAGAGATGTTGACTACCTCGCCTGGTACGCAGGAGGTCGTGGGTTCAATCCCAGACACTGAGAGATGTTTACCACCTCGCCTGGTACGCAGGAGGTCGTGGGTTCAATCCCAGACACTGAGAGATGTTGACTACCTCGCCTGATACGCAGGAGGTCGTGGATTCTATCCCAGACACTGAGAGATGTTGACTACCTCGCCTGGTACGCAGGAGGTCGTGGGTTCAATCCCAGACCCAGAGAGATGTTAATTACCTCGCCTGGTATGCAGGAGGTTGTGAGTTCAATCCCAGACACTGAGAGATGTTGACCACCTCGCGTGGTACACAGGAGGTCGTGGGTTCAATCCCAGACCCTGAGAGATGTTAACTACCTCGCCTGGTACGCAGGAGGTCGTGGGTTCAATCCCAGACCCTGAGAGATGTTGACCATTTCGCCTGGTACGCAGGAGGTCGTGGGTTCTATCCCAGACACTGAGAGGTGTTGACTACCTCGCCTGGTACGCAGGAGGTCGTGGGTTCAATCCCAGACACTGAGATATGTTGACTACCTCGCCTGGTACGCAGGAGGTCGTGGGTTCAATCCCAGACCCTGAGAGATGTTAATTACCTCGCCTGGTACGCAGGAGGTCGTGGGTTCAATCCCAGACACTGAGAGATGTTAACTACCTCGCCTGGTACGCAGGAGGTCGTGGGTTCAATCCCAGACACTTAGAGATGTTGACTACCTCGCCTGGTACACAGGAGGTCGTGGGTTCAATCCCAGACACTGAGAGATGTTGACTACCTCGCCTGGTACGCAGGTCGTGGGTTCAATCCCAGACACTGAGAGATGTTGACTACCTCGCTTGATACGCAGGAGGTCGTGGGTTCAATCCCAGACACTGAGAGATGTTGACTACCTCGCCTGGTACGCAGGTCGTGGGTTCAATCCCAGACACTGAGAGATGTTGACTACCTCGCCTGGTACACAGTAGGTCGTGGGTTCAATCCCAGACACTGAGAGATGTTAACTACCTCGCCTGGTACACAGGAGGTCGTGGGTTCAATCCCAGACCCTGAGAGATGTTGACTACCTCGCCTGATACGCAGGAGGTCGTGGGTTCAATCCCAGACACTGAGAGATGTTGACTACCTCGCCTGGTACGCAGGAGGTCGTGGGTTCAATCCCAGACCCTGAGAGATGTTGACTACCTCGCCTGGTACACAGGAGGTCGTGGGTTCAATCCCAGACCCTGAGAGATGTTGACCATTTCGCCTGGTACGCAGGAGGTCGTGGGTTCTATACCAGACACTGAGAGATGTTGACTACCTCGCCTGGTACGCAGGAGGTCGTGGGTTCAATCCCAGACCCTGAGAGATGTTGACTACCTCGCCTGGTACGCAGGAGGTCGTGGGTTCAATCCCAGACCCTGAGAGATGTTGACTACCTCGCCTGGTACGCAGGAGGTCGTGGGTTCAATCCCAGACACTGAGAGATGTTGACTACCTCGCCTGGTACACAGGAGGTCGTGGGTTCAATCCCAGACACTGAGAGATGTTGACCATTTCGCCTGGTACGTAGGAGGTCGTGGGTTCAATCCCAGACACTGAGAGATGTTGACTACCTCGCCTGGTGCACAGGAGGTCGTGGGTTCAATCCCAGACACTGAGAGATGTTGACTACCTCGCCTGGTATGCAGGAGGTCGTGGGTTCAATCCCAGACACTGAGAGATGTTGACCACCTCGCCTGGTACGCAGGAGGTCGTGGGTTCAATCCCAGACCCAGAGAGATGTTAATTACCTCGCCTGGTATGCAGGAGGTCGTGGGTTCAATCCCAGACACTGAGAGATGTTGACCACCTCGCCTGGTACACAGGAGGTCGTGGGCTCAATCCCAGACACTGAGAGATGTTGACCACCTCGCCTGGTACGCAGGAGGTCGTGGGTTCAATCCCAGACACAGAGAGATGTTGACTTCCTCGCCTGGTACGCAGGAGGTCGTGGGTTCAATCCCAGACATTGAGAGATGTTGACTACCTCGCCTGGTACACAGGAGGTCGTGGGTTCAATCCCAGACACTGAGAGATGTTGGCTACCTCGCCTAGTACGCAGGAGGTCGTGGGTTCAATACCAGACACTGAGAGATGTTGACCATTTCGCCTGGTACGTAGGAGGTCGTGGGTTCAATCCCAGACACTGAGAGATGTTGACTACCTCGCCTGGTACCCATGAGGTCGTGGGTTCAATCCCAGACACTGAGAGATGTTGACTACCTCGCCTGGTACACAGGAGTTCGTGGGTTCTATCCTGGACCCTGAGAGATGTTGACTACCTCGCCTGGCACACAGGAGGTCGTGGGTTCAATCCCAGACACTGAGAGATGTTGACTACCTCGCCTGGCATGCAGGAGGTCGTGGGTTCAATCCCAGACCCTGAGAGATGTTGACCACCTCGCCTGGTACACAGGCGGTCGTGGGTTCAATCCCAGACACTGAGAGATGTTGACTACCTCGCCTGGTACCCATGAGGTCGTGGGTTCAATCCCAGACACTGAGAGATGTTGACTACCTCGCCTGGTACACAGGAGTTCGTGGGTTCTATCCTGGACCCTGAGAGATGTTGACTACCTCGCCTGGCACACAGGAGGTCGTGGGTTCAATCCCAGACACTGAGAGATGTTGACTACCTCGCCTGGTACGCAGGAGGTCGTGGGTTCAATCCCAGACCCTGAGAGATGTTGACTACCTCGCCTGGTACACAGGAGGTCGTGGGTTCGATCCCGAACCTGACGATGCCTGCTGCTGCAGATTTGGAGTCTGCGTCTCTCTCTGTCTTATCTTCATCAACATCACGGTGGCTAGGAGATGTTGACTAACACCACCACCACTACAACCACCGTCACCACCACCACAACCACCACCACAACCACCACAACCACCACCACCACAACCACCACAACCACCACTACCACCACCACCACCACAACCACCACCACAACCACCACCACCACCACCACCACCACAACCACCACCACCACCACAACCACCACAACCACCACCACAACCACCACCACCACAACCACCACAACCACCACCACCACCACTACAACCACCACCACCACAACCACCACAACCACCACCACAACCACCACCACCACAACCACCACCACCACCACAACAACCACAACCACCACCACCACCACCACAACAACCACAACCACCACAACAACCACAACCACCACAACCATCACCACAACCACCACCACAACCACCACCACCACCACCACAACCACCACCACGACCACAACCACCACCACCACAACCACCACCACCACAACCACCACAACAACCACAACCACCACCACCACCACAACAACCACAACCACCACAACAACCACAACCACCACAACCACCACAACCATCACCACAACCACCACCACCACAACCACCATCACCACAACCACCACCACAACCACCACCACCACCACCACAACCACCACCACCACCACAACCACCACAACCACCACCACCACAACCACCACAACCACCACCACCACAACCACCACCACCACAACCACCACCACAACCACCACAACCACCACCACTCTGCCACGTACCTCCAAGTTTGTTGAGGACGCGAGTAACCGCGCCAGAACAGCCTTCACAGGTCATGTCGACAAAGAACTCCTCCTTCTACACACACACAGTCACACACACACAGTCACACACACACAGTCACACACACATACACAGTCTCACACACACAGTCACACACACACAGTCACACACACAGTCACACACACAGTCACACAGACACACACACAGTCACACACAGTCACACACAGACACACACACAGTCACACACAGTCACACACACACAGTCACACACAGATACACACACAGACACAGTCACACACAGATACACACACAGTCACACACACAGTCACACACAGTCACACACACAGACACACACACAGTCTCACACACACACAGTCACACACACACAGTCACACACACACAGTCACACACACACAGTCTCACACACACACAGTCACACACAGTCACACAGACACACACACAGTCACACAGACACAGACACACACACATACATAGTCTCACACAGATACACACACATTCACACACACACAGATACACACAGTCACACACAGTCACACACACACACAGTCACACATACAGTCACACACAGTAACTCACACACAGTCACACACACACACAGTCAGACACACACAGTCTCACACACAGTCACACACACACAGTCACACACACACAGACACACACACAGATACACACACACAGACACACACACACAGTCTCACACACACAGATACACACAGTCACACACACACAGTCACACACACACAGTCACACACACACAGTCACACACACAGACACAGTCACACACATATACACACACACAGACACACACACACAGTCACACACACAGTCACACAGACACACACACAGTTACACACACACAGTCTCACACAGTTACACACACAGACACACACACAGTCACACACACAGACACACACACAGTCACACACACAGTCTCACACACACAGTCACACACACACACAGTCACACACACACACTCACACACACAGTCACACACACACAGTCACACACACACAGTCACACACACAGACACAGTCACACACATATACACACACACAGACACACACACACAGTCACACACACAGTCACACAGACACACACACACAGTTACACACACACAGTCTCACACAGTTACACACACACACAGACACACACAGTTACACACACACACAGACACACACACAGTCACACACACAGACACACACACAGTCACACACACAGTCACACACACAGTCTCACACACACAGTCACACACACACACACAGTCACACACACACACTCACACACACAGTCACACACACAGTCACACAGATACACAAACACAGATACACACAGACACACACACAGACACACACACAGACACACACACAGACACACACACACAGAGACAGTCACGCACACACACAGTTACACACACACACAGACACACACAAAGGTCCCCCGTGTAGCCTCTAGCAGGCTGTAGGGGCAAGTGCTGTTGGTAGTAGCGAGTAGCAGCAGCAGTGTCTATGAAGGTAGACACAGACAAAGGTCCCCCGTGTAGCCTCTAGCAGGCTGTAGGGGCAAGTGCTGTTGGTAGTAGCGAGTAGCAGCAGCAGTGTCTATGAAGGTAGACACAGACAAAGGTCCCCCGTGTAGCCTCTAGCAGGCTGTAGGGGCAAGTGCTGTTAGTAACAGCAGCGCTACCTATGAAGGCTACCGGCACTGTGGCACACACAGAGGGGGTGGCCACCAGCACCACCACGCCCGGCCGCCTTTGTCTCTCCCCCAGTGCTAGCGACGTTCACTACGCGTCGCTCGGCACGGCTGCCGTGGACACCTTTAGACGTTTCAGGGCACGACCCTTCGATCACTACAGCGCCCATTAACCATCCACAACAACCAACCAACCACCCCCCCCCTTGCTCTGCACGGCTGCCGTGGACACCTTTAGACGTTTCAGGCCACGACCCTTCGATCACTACAGCGCCCATTAACCATCCACAACAACCAACCAACCACCACCCCTTGCTCTGCACGGCTGCCGTGGACACCTTTAGACGTTTCAGGCCACGACCCTTCGATCACTACAGCGCCCATTAACCATCCACAACAACAACCAACCAACCAACCACCACCCCTTGCTCTGCACGGCTGCCGTGGACACCTTTAGACGTTTCAGAGGACGACCCTTCGATCACTACAGCGCCCATTAACCATCGCGATGGTGGATGTTGTGGTCGTAGTATGCCAGGTAGCTGAATACGATCAGCAGCTTTAACGAAGTTACGAGGGAAGGGGGGTGTGTAGGTGACAGCGTTGTGACTTTACCGTCATGGTAACGTGGAGTGGGCAACACGCGCACTCCGGCTTGCAGCTGACTGGCGAGTCGGTGGGGGGGAGGGGGGGGTCCTTATAGGTGCCAACGCTTCAACTTTATAGCTGTCCTCGGTGGTGGTAAAAAAATAAATAATCAATGGGGCGCCTGACTTGGAAATAATTAACGCATTTTTTTTAAATATATATATTTTTTAAACGATTCGCAAGGTTCCGGTTGCAATGCTTGCGTGAAAATGAAAGCGGTTTTTTATATTTAGAAAATATATTCATCACGTTGAATGTCGCCGTATATATTTTTTTGTTTTAAAAAAATATTTTGACTTTTATTTACAGGCGGATGCCGCGGACGACCATACGATCGGGCGGGGCGGGGCGGGGCGGGAGGAGGGGTCCTTCTAATTTATGCAAGTTGGAGAGAGGGCCAAATGAACCAATCAGGAGCCCCGCCGACGTCGTCTTCAGATTATTAATTTATTTCGGAGGAAATCCGAAGACCTAAAACGCTCTTTTTGAATCCACGCGCATCACTCTTTACGTTGATTTTAACTTCGTGATATTTGGTTCGGTTTAATGAGTTGCACTTTGCGATGCGTCAATCTGTGGACCAATAGCTGGCCAACTTTCTATCGGTGATAGTGAGTGACACGGGCTGGTGAGTGAGTGGGTGGGTGAGTGGGTGGGTGAGTGAGTGGGTGGGTGAGTGGGTGAGTGAGTGGGTGGGTGAGTGGGTGGCTGAGTGGGTGAGTGAGTGAGTGGGTGAGTGGGTGGGTGACTGAGTGGGTGAGTGGGTGGGTGAGTGAGTGAGTGGGTGAGTGAGTGGGTGAGTGGGTGGGTGGGTGAGTGAGTGAGTGGGTGAGTGGGTGGGTAAGTGGGTGGGTGGGTGGGTGATTGAGTGAGTGGGTGAGTGGGTGAGTGGGTGGGTGGGTGAGTGAGTGAGTGGGTGAGTGGGTGGGTAAGTGGGTGGGTGGGTGATTGAGTGAGTGGATGAGTGGGTGGGTGAGTGGGTGGGTGAGTGAGTGGGTGGGTGAGTGGGTGGGTGAGTGGGTGAGTGAGTGGGTGAGTGAGTGGGTGGGTGAGTGGGTGAGTGAGTGAGTGGGTGAGTGAGTGGGTGAGTGAGTGGGTGAGTGGGTGGGTGAGTGAGTGAGTGGGTGAGTGAGTGGGTGAGTGGGTGGGTGGGTGAGTGAGTGAGTCGGTGAGTGGGTGGGTAAGTGGGTGGGTGGGTGGGTGATTGGGTGAGTGGGTGAGTGGGTGGGTGGGTGATTGAGTGAGTGGGTGAGTGGGTGAGTGAGTGGGTGAGTGAGTGAGTGGGTGAGTGGGTGGGTGAGTGAGTGAGTGGGTGAGTGGGTGGGTGAGTGGGTGGGTGGGTGATTGAGTGAGTGGGTGGGTGAGTGAGTGGGTGGGTGAGTGGGTGGATGGGTGAGTGAGTGAGTGGGTGAGTGGGTGAGTGAGTGGGTGAGTGAGTGGGTGGGTGAGTGAGTGGGTGAGTGGGTGGGTGAGTGGGTAGGTGAGTGAGTGAGTGGGTGAGTGGGTGAGTGGGTGAGTGAGTGGGTGAGTGGGTGGGTGAGTGAGTGGGTGAGTGAGTGGGTGAGTGGGTGGGTGAGTGGGTGGGTGAGTGGGTGAGTGAGTGAGTGGGTGGGTGAGTGAGTGGGTGAGTGGGTGGGTGAGTGAGTGTGTGAGTGAGTGAGTGGGTGTGTGGGTGGGTGAGTGGGTGGGTGAGTGGGTGGGTGAGTGGGTGAGTGAGTGGGTGGGTGAGTGAGTGTGTGGGTGGGTGTGTGGGTGGGTGAGTGGGTGAGTGGATGAGTGGCTGAGTGAGTGGGTGAGTGAGTGAATGAGTGAGTGGATGAGTGAGTAGGTGAGTGAGTGGGTGGGTGAGTGGGTGGGTGAGTGAGTGAGTGCGTGGGTGAGTGAGTGAGTGAGTGACACGAGCTAGAGAGGAGATGGAGCTGAGTGGACTTGCCGATGACCAGCCCCAGCGAAGGACATTACTACCGGGCAGTGCCAGGCTAGGTGCACCTTGGCATTCGCCCTCCAGCAAACTAACTGCACGTGTCGAATGAATGAGTACCTGGCAGATCATTAAGGCAAAGCGTAAAACCTCGTGACGTTGAACGAACCTCTGAAGTTAAAACAAAGTCACGTGGTTCAGTTTAGAAAATTATTATCTCTGCCTTAACCGCTGTTTTATTATGGCCAGAAAGGGCAAGCACCAATTCTTATATTTTGATGAGTGGCAAGAAAGTATCAGCTATAAATACTGTGATTCGTGTTGCATTGTCCCTGTACTGGTTAACTTGTGGCGTTGTTCTCCGATCTGACACTGGGTAGTGAGACACTGGGTGGTGAGACACTGGGTAGTGAGACACTGGGTGGTGAGACACTGGGTAGTGAGACACTGCTAGTGAGACACTGCTAGTGAGACACTGGGTGGTGAGACACTGCTAGTGAGACACTGCTAGTGAGACACTGGGTGGTGAGACACTGGGTAGTGAGACACTGGGTAGTGAGACACTGCTAGTGAGACACTGGGTAGTGAGACACTGGGTAGTGAGACACTGGGTGGTGAGACACTGGGTAGTGAGACACGGGTAGTGAGACACTGCTAGTGAGACACTGGGTAGTGAGACACTGGGTAGTGAGACACTGCTAGTGAGACACTGCTAGTGAGACACTGGATGGTGAGACACTGGGTAGTGAGACACTGGGTAGTGAGACACTGCTAGTGAGACACTGGGTAATGAGACACTGGGTAGTGAGACACTGGGTGGTGAGACACTGCTAGTGAGACACTGGGTAGTGAGAAAATGGGTAGTGAAACACTGGGTGGTGAGACACTGGGTAGTGAGACACTGCTAGTGAGACACTGCTAGTGAGACACTGGGTAGTGAGGCACTGCTAGTGAGACACTGGGTAGTGAGACACTGCTAGTGAGACACTGGGTAGTGAGACACTGGTAGTGAGACACTGGGTAGTGAGACACTGCTAGTGAGACACTGGGTAGTGAGACACTGGGTAGTGAGACACTGCTAGTGAGACACTGCTAGTGAGACACTGGGTAGTGAGACACTGGGTAGTGAGACACTGCTAGTGAGACACTGGTAGTGAGACACTGGGTAGTGAGGCAATTGGTAGTGAGACACTGCTAGTGAGACACTGCTAGTGAGACACTGGGTAGTGAGACACTGGGTAGTGAGACACTGGGTGGTGAGACACTGCTAGTGAGACACTGGGTAGTGAGACACTGGGTGGTGAGACACTGGGTAGTGAGACACTGTTAGAAAGACACTGCTAGTGAGACACTGGGTAGTGAGACACTGGTGGTGAGACACTGCGTGAGACACTGGGTAGTGGACACTGGGTAGTGAGACACTGGGTAGTGAGACACTGGGGAGTGAGACACTGGGGGGTGAGACACTGGGTAGTGAGACACTGGGTAGTGAGACACGGGTAGTGAGACACTGGTAGTGAGACACTGGGTAGTGAGACACTGGGTGGTGAGACACTGGGTAGTGAGACACTGGGTAGTGAGACACTGGGTAGTGAGACACTGCTAGTGAGACACTGGGTAGTGAGACACTGCTAATTAGACACTGGGTGGTGAGACACTGCTAGTGAGACACTGGGTAGTGAGACACTGCTAATTAGACACTGGGTGGTGAGACACTGCTAGTGAGACACTGGGTAGTGAGACACTGCTAATTAGACACTGGGTAGTGAGACACTGGGAAGTGAGACACTGGGTAGTGAGACACTGGGTAGTGAGACAATGGGTGGTGAGACACTGCTAGTGAGACACTGGGTGGTGAGACACTGCTAGTGAGACACTGCTAGTGAGACACTGGGTGGTGAGACACTGCTAGTGAGACACTGGGTGGTGAGACACTGCTAGTGAGACACTGGGTAGTGAGACACAGGGAAGTGAGACACTGGGTAGTGAGACACTGCTAGTGAGACACTGGGTAGTGAGACACTGGGTAGTGAGACACTGGGTAGTGAGACACTGGGTAGTGAGACACTGGTACAGAGACACTGCTAGTGAGACACTGGGTAGTGAGACACTGGGGAGTGAGACACTGGGTAGTGAGACACTGGGTGGTGAGACACTGCTAGTGAGACACTGGGAAGTGAGACACTGGGTAGTGAGACAGTGCTAGTGAGACACTGGGTAGTGAGACACTGGGTAGTGAGACACTGCTAGTGAGACACTGGGTGGTGAGACACTGGGTAGTGAGACACTGGGTGGTGAGACACTGGGTGGTGAGACACTGGGTAGTGAGACACTGGGTAGTGAGTCTGCTAGTGAGACACTAGGTAGTGAGACACTGGGTGGTGAGACACTGGGTAGTGAGACACTGGGTAGTGAGACACTGGGTGGTGAGACACTGCTAGTGAGACACTGGGTAGTGAGACACTAGGTGGTGAGACACTGGGTGGTGAGACACTGCTAGTGAGACACTGCTAATGAGACACTGGGTAGTAAGACACTGGGTGGTGAGACACTGGGTGGTGAGACACTGGGTGGTGAGACACTGCTAGTGAGACACTGGGTAGTGAGACACTGGGTGGTGAGACACTGGGCAGTGAGACACTGGGTAGTGAGACACTGCTAGTGAGACACTGCTAGTGAGACACTGGGTAGTGAGACACTGGGTGGTGAGACACTGCTAGTGAGACACTGGGTAGTGAGACACTGGGTGGTGAGACACTGGGCAGTGAGACACTGCTAGTGAGACACTGGGTGGTGAGACACTGCTAGTGAGACACTGGGTAGTGAGACACTGGGTGGTGAGACACTGCTAGTGAGAGACTGCTAGTGAGACACTGGGTAGTGAGACACTGGTAGTGAGACACTGGGTAGTGAGACACTGCTAGTGAGACACTGGGTGGTGAGACACTGCTAGTGAGACACTGGGTAGTGAGGCAATTGGTAGTGAGACACTGCTAGTGAGACACTGCTAGTGAGACACTGGGTAGTGAGACACTGGGTAGTGAGACACTGGTGGTGAGACATTGCGTGAGACACTGGGTAGTGGACACTGGGTAGTGAGACACTGGGTAGTGAGACACTGGGGGGTGAGACACTGGGTAGTGAGACACTGGGTAGT